CCAGAAGTACTACATGGACAGCAATATACAACGGCTGCTGACATTTATAGTTTTGGGATTATAATGACCGAATTTTCATCAGGAAAACTACCCCATTGGAAGGTTATACATGGTTTTTCCCTTGCTTTGAAAATAGTCAAAGGTTTACGTCCTGAATTTGGAAAAGGAACACCAAAAATTTATATTGATTTGGCAAACGAATGTATGGATGCAGATCCTTCTAAAAGACCGGAAGCAATCGATTGTTATGTAAAGTTAAATGATTGGTATAATGCATTTAAATTTGCTTGTAGCGAAAGAGAGAGTGAAAATGATATTTTAATAAGAAATGGATTTGAAGCTGCTAATAAATTAATTTCAAACAATTTACCAGTAAATTTATCATTAAATCCAGATGCCATATATACCAGTAGACTCCTTGATTTCAAATATCTTCCAGAACCAAGAAATTCATATACGTTAGAAACTCGAGAAAACCCCAATTTTAACTCAAATAATCGCAAAGAACCTCTTAAAGATTTTACAAGATCATTGTCAATTGTACCAGACAATGAATTTGCACAGAAATCTGAAAGCTTATACCTTATCGAGTTAACAGAGCCTGATATTACTATCAACAATAATAGTAATTCAAAAGTTTGGAATAATATCAACTCGAATTTTGCATCAGTTCATGCATCAGTTGCACAAAAGACAGCAGATACAGAAAGACTGCTTTCATTGCTTATTAAACAAAAAGATAATATTGACAAAATTCTAGATTCTCAACCTGTATGTGCTTTGGGACCTGACTTTCAACAAGGTCACTCTGTACCATGCATTGCTTGCTGGGTTACCATGCCACTTGATATGGTAATAGTTGAACAACTTTCAGCCTTATTTGATAATGAGTTTGAAATAATTATTCATATAGTAGAAGAACAATATAAGTCATTAAATAATGGAAATAATGGAAATAAGACTAATAGGAAAAATGAAAATAACGAGAAGAGTAAAGTTAATGGAGAAAAAGATGATGATGATAGAAATAGGATTATAAAATGTAGTTATGTAGATAATCCATTTATGCAAGTTCAGTCTGTAGCATATGTCGAATTTGAAAATATATTACAAACTTTTACAATAAATGCATACATCAGAGCGAATATTATCACTATGAATCGTGTATCTAGGAATTTATTAGAGTTTAGCATCAATCTATCCCAATGCGAAACAGGAAAGATGCTCAGTGAAATTTGTGAATCATTTCAAGGCATTATAGGCTATTATCTTGATTCTATTTTAATTAAAGTCTCCCCAATTTTTTATAATGAAGATGCAATCAACGTTATTGATGTAGCAAAAGCATATAGCCCACAGTATAGTCAAGTATCAGATATTTACAGCCTTGGAATTATTGCGACAGAAAGTAATGAGACGGGTTTTAACGGCCAAATAGGTACTACTGGCCTTACAGCAAGCAGCAATAAGAAATATAGAAATATCACCGAGACAAGTAATTGGCAAATGGATCTTAATTTCTGTGCAAATACAGGAGTGCGTTGGTCATATCAATATAATTTCAATGGGACTGATAGAAAATGGCAGAATTCACATACCCATATTGGTCATTGGTACCTTTCAGATGAGATGAAAGGGTTTCGGATCACTATTACACAGATATTATGCCACAAATTCAATTCATATTTCTTCCTTTGTGGTAAAAAACCAGAAATAATAAAAAAATGCCCAAAAATTTTTCATAATCTTGAAATTTCTTTTACTGATATGGCAAACTTCAATGAAAACTTTGAAAAGCTAGCCAAAAAAGTGCACAGGACATGATGACATTGTTATCGATTTGAAACGCAAGTATTTCTCCGAGGTTGGTCATAGTTTAATTTATTTATCGCTGTTTGCAAATTGATGTGCCTTTTGATAAAATCTGCGGGTCACTACTTGCCCGATTGTCCGATTGCAATCGATTGTACTTGATTGTACGTGATTATATACAATTTCTCAGCGAATATTTTTTTTATTTGAATTTTATGGATCTATAGAATTCAATTAAAAAAATTCGTCAAATTTGATCAAGTGGTTACTGAGATATCATCGCTCAGTTTTTTTTTGAAACTGCGCCAAATTTTTCCTAAACTTTGAGCAAATATATTTCAGCAACCACATAAACAAATTTGATGAAAATTTTTTTTTTTATTTGAATTCTATAGATTCATAGAATTCAAATAAAAAAATTTTCATCGAGTTTGATCAGACAGTTGCTGAAATATCTTCGTTCAAAGTTTTTAAACATCAAAATGGAAGCTTCATCAAATTGTTCCTAAAACTTTGAGCGAAGATATTTCAACAACTATCTGATCAAATTCGATGAAAAGTTTTTTATTTGAATTCTAGGGATCTATAAAATTTTAAATAAAAATAATTCATCGAATTCGATTAGATAGTTGCTGAGATATCTTCGCCTAAAGTTTTAAGAAAAAACTTATATTTTGATATTATGATGAAAATTCATGGTATTCATCCTGATTTTGAAAAGTTCGGTCCAAAGTGATTACAGCGCAATAACAAGACTTTTAGAGAATGTATTAAAATTTTATTTTGTAAAACTTTAGCTCAAACAAACAAGAAATTACGGAGTTACTAAATTATTCGCTCTTGTATTAAGGTGAAATTGAATTTTTTAAAAAAACTTTGAGCGAAGATTTCTCAGCAGCAACCTGATCAAATTCGACGAGTTTGTTTGTTTTTTTTCTTTTTGAATTCTATGGATCAATAGAATTCAAATAAAAAGCTTTTCATCGAATTTGATTAGATAGTTGCTGAAATCTCTTCGCTCAAAGTTTTAGAAAAAATTTGACGCAGCTTCTATTTTTGATGTTTAAAACCTTTGAACGGAGATATTTCAGCAACTGCCTGATCAAATTCGATGAAAATTTTTTAATTTGAATTCTATGAATCTATAAAATTCAAATAAAAAAAAATTCATCGAATTTGTTTATGTGGTTTCTGAAATATATCTGCTCAAAGTTTTAGGAAATTTCTATTAATGATAGACATTAAAAAATAAAACTGAGCGATGATATCTCAGCAACTACTTGATAAAATTTGATGAATTTTTTTTATTTGAATTCTATAGATTATAAAATTCAAAGAAATTGCATACAATCACGCACAATCACGTACAATCGATTGCAATCGGACAATCGGGCGTGCAGTGACCCACAGATTTTATCAAAAGTCACATCAATTTGCAAACAGCGATAAAAAAAAAAAAATTGACCAGTAAAATCTGATCAATAATTAATTGAGGTTTTTTTATTTTGTTCTTTAGTAATCGCGTTTAGGTTGATGAGATTTTAAAGCATTCTTATTCTACAATGCACAACTTAAAGACTACATCCGATTTCTTTCATTCTATTTGATTTTTTATCTTTTATTTCGTATATTACCAATAACAAATGACAACAATTAAGATTAATTTATTGCTTGTGCATTATTACGATCATGTCAAAATTTTTCTATTATGAATTTAACGGTATATTTATATATCAAACATTTTATTATCCTTTTTATTAGTATATGTATCATTAAATTATAAGAAATTGTATTTGATTCGTAATGTTATTATTGCATGTTGACATCAAGTCAAATTTTTATTACTTTAATTAGTTGGATCAATGATTTTTGCAGATCATTTTTCAGAGTCCCGTGATTTTAGGTAGCGTTCCCACAAAAAATTCTTATCCTGTATCCGGAGTATAGGCACTTTATCCTGTACCAGGGGGTACAGGAGTCTATTCTATGTCGTCTAAAAATGATTGGTTAATAAAAGTTACAGTTTTTTTAAAATTTGAGCGAAGGTATAATATTTTTATTCGAATTTATAAACATAAAAAAAAAAAAAAATTTTACTGAGTTATTAAAATTAAAAAATAAATCCCATTTAAAATTATTATTATTCAAAGTTTAGAAGTTTTGCATTTAATAGAGTTAAATTATAAAATTTTTTATTAATTAAACATCGTAATGCAGCGAATGTAATAAAGTAATTAATTAATGCTAACCTAACCCTAACCAAAATATTGCCATGCTAGACGAACTCTACTGCTTATCATAAAAAATCTTTAAGAAAATGCTTTATAAACCATTAACCGATGACAATAAAAGCATCCAAAAAAGCATTAAAAACACAAAAAAAAAAATCTAACCACCAGGGAAAAGTCCCAAAGAAATATTGAAAATTGCTGAAAGGGTACCATTAAAGAAACATAAAAAATATCGAAGGAACCACCAGAGAGAGCCCAAAGAAAGCTGTTAAAGAAATGTGAAAAACTTGAGCCAAGAGTAGAGTTGGGCAAACATTGTAAGTTACGTAAGTTGCACTGTAACTTACATCTAGCGAATGTATGTCATCAGGATCTTTAATTAAAAGGTTTTTATAATTTAAATAGCTATTATAATGATTACAGTAACACATTCATTAAATATGTTACTGCGGGATTTCTCATTTCATATTACCTGTATAACTTACTTTACAGTAATTGATGTAACAACAAATTAAATGAATATCTATTTATTTCATATTAGACATGTCAAAAGCCTCATATCTGTATCGTACGCACTATGTAAATGGTTTTGTAAAATATTTTCAAAATTTAAATCTTGATGTAAAGGTTGAAGCGATGCAATACGGCTAATCAATTAAAGTTTACTCAAAGCAACTTAAACGCCGGAACATTTGTTTGTATTAGAATTCAGTTGCCAATTTAATGCGTTCCTCATGTGTAACCTACTGTAGATATTTATAACCATCAAAAAGGTCTTTTCCAGTTGGCATATTTTTTTTCACACCTCGGACACAATGATAATTTCATCTATGTGACTATTATACTTTTTTTTTGTATCGTATTTGCGTGTTACCCTATTTATCTGTCAATTTTTGGATAACAATTGAATTCAAATGTTCTACTCGAATTTCTTCTGATAGCCTATTTTGTGTAATATGTCCATTTCTCAGTTACGTACGTACCAGAATCAGATCTCATAATATGCAATTATAGCATAAATTCTCTGTTAAAGAAATTTTGTACATTACGAGCCGTAATCACCTCTTCAATTGTGGTTTTACATAATCGTAGGTTGATTTCCATATTATCTGGCAGATTCTGCATTTCAGGATGAATTCTCGATATTTTAAATTTCTTCCGAGCACCCAGATCTTCCTTCTGTTACATGCATCAATCTAGGTCCCAAGGGTAGTGTCCCCAGAAGGCGGCTTTTTTTTTTTATTTAGTACCCAATTTATTGGTTCCAAGTCCAGTAGTACTTCGTTTCTCCGGTTGTGAACTTATTATTTGCGAATTTGTGGTAGTGATTGAGAAAGATCTTAGGTAGTTTGTTACATTGGTAATTGTGTATTTAGCCTAATTAAGGCTTTTTTTTTTTTTTTTGACCAGAAACATGTGCAACGTTTCTTGACATCTGCTTCCAGGCAGTGAGGTAGGATATCCATTCTTTTAGCTAGTTCTTAAGTTTTTTATGTAGGTTCAATTCAATTTATTTTTTCAAATTTGACCCAGAGATTTTCATTGGCTATAAGTTTGAGCTAAACTGACATGAGTCTTGCGTAGAGATGTGCCGTGTGCATTATGCAGGCGATGTTGCATGCTACATAATGCTGCATAATGCGATGCAAGTTGCCTAAAATTTAAAAATGCACATAGAAGTTATT